TTGAGATCTCTGGTATTAGGGTGGAAGGGAGCTGAGTGCCCTGGTATTAGGGTGGAAGGGAGCTGAGTGCCCTGGTATTAGGGTGGAAGGGAGCTGAGTGCCCTGGTACTGGGAGAGGAAGCTAGATGTCCTGGTATTGGAGGGAAGGGAGCTAGGTGCCCTCGTATTAGGGGAAGGAAGCCGGGCGCCCTGGTATTAGGGGGGAGGAAGCCGGGCGCCCTGGTATTAGGGGGGAGGAAGCCGGGCGCCCTGGTATTAGGGGGGAGGAAGCCGGGCGCCCTGGTATTAGGGGGGAGGAAGCCGGGCGCCCTGGTATTAGGGGGGAGGAAGCCGGGCGCCCTGGTATTAGGGGGGAGGAAGCCGGGCGCCCTGGTATTAGGGGGGAGGAAGCCGGGCGCCCTGGTATTAGGGGGGAGGAAGCCGGGCGCCCTGGTATTAGGGGGGAGGAAGCCGGGCGCCCTGGTATTAGGGGGGAGGAAGCCGGGCGCCCTGGTATTAGGGGGGAGGAAGCCGGGCGCCCTGGTATTAGGGGGGAGGAAGCCGGGCGCCCTGGTATTAGGGGGGAGGAAGCCGGGCGCCCTGGTATTAGGGGGGAGGAAGCCGGGCGCCCTGGTATTAGGGGGGAGGAAGCCGGGCGCCCTGGTATTAGGGGGGAGGAAGCCGGGCGCCCTGGTATTAGGGGGGAGGAAGCCGGGCGCCCTGGTATTAGGGGGGAGGAAGCCGGGCGCCCTGGTATTAGGGGGGAGGAAGCCGGGCGCCCTGGTATTAGGGGGGAGGAAGCCGGGCGCCCTGGTATTAGGGGGGAGGAAGCCGGGCGCCCTGGTATTAGGGGGGAGGAAGCCGGGCGCCCTGGTATTAGGGGGGAGGAAGCCGGGCGCCCTGGTATTAGGGGGGAGGAAGCCGGGCGCCCTGGTATTAGGGGGGAGGAAGCCGGGCGCCCTGGTATTAGGGGGGAGGAAGCCGGGCGCCCTGGTATTAGGGGGGAGGAAGCCGGGCGCCCTGGTATTAGGGGGAAGGGAGCTGAGTGCCCTGGTACTGGGAGAGGAAGCTAGATGTCCTGGTATTGGAGGGAAGGGAGCTAGGTGCCCTGGTACTGGGGGTGGAGAGGAAGCTGGGTGCCCTTGTATTAGGGGCGAACGAAGCCGGGTGCCCTGGTATTGGAGGGAAGGGAGCTAGGTGCCCTGGTATTGGAGGGAAGAGAGCTAGGTGCCCTGGTATTAGGGGGAAGGAAGCTGGGCACCCTGGTATTAGGGGGAAGGAAGCTGGGTGCCCTGGTACTGGGGGTGGAGAGGAAGCTGGGTGCCCTGGTACTGGAAGAGGAAGCTAGATGTCCTGGTATTGGAGGGAAGGGAGCTAGGTGCCCTGGTATTGGAGGGAAGGGAGCAGGTAATTCTATTTATCCAAATTACTTGGCAAAGTGAACTTAACCTTTATTGCACATTGTGTACGGCTACCAAAATATGGCATGCAGTGGAATGGGGGCAGCGCACACACACAAAGCCCCATGCATGCATTTATTCACATACAGATGTATTTATTTTATTATTATTTTTTACTTTTTTCTTCACCTAACTTTATTGCTATCACACAGGAGCTAAGACGCCCCTGTGTGATAGCATTCTGAGGTGCCCTGCATAACGCAAACAAACACAAACAGGGCACAACACACACCAGCACAACGCACGGGGCACAGTACATTACACATACAGCCACAAAACAACACACAGGACATTACGCATGCAGCCAGAGCACAAAGAACACAGGACATTACACATGCAGCCACAGCACCAAGAACACAGGACATTACACATGCAGCCACAGCACCAAGAACACAGGACATTACACATGCAGCCACAGCACCAAGAACACAGGACATTACACATGCAGCCACAGCACCAAGAACACAGGACATTACACATGCAGCCACAGCACCAAGAACACAGGACATTACGCATGCAGCCAGAGCACAAAGAACACAGGACATTACACATGCAGCCACAGCACCAAGAACACAGGACATTACACATGCAGCCAGAGCACAACGCACAGGACATTACGCATGCAGCCAGAGCACAAAGAACACAGGACATTACGCATGCAACGACAGCACAACGCACAGGACATTACGCATGCAGCCATAGCACAACGCACAGGACATTACGCCTACAGCCACAGCACAAAGAACACAGGACATTACACATGCAGCCACAGCACCAAGAACACAGGACATTACACATGCAGCCACAGCACCAAGAACACAGGACATTACACATGCAGCCACAGCACCAAGAACACAGGACATTACACATGCAGCCACAGCACCAAGAACACAGGACATTACACATGCAGCCACAGCACCAAGAACACAGGACATTACACATGCAGCCACAGCACCAAGAACACAGGACATTACACATGCAGCCACAGCACCAAGAACACAGGACATTACACATGCAGCCACAGCACCAAGAACACAGGACATTACACATGCAGCCACAGCACCAAGAACACAGGACATTACACATGCAGCCACAGCACCAAGAACACAGGACATTACACATGCAGCCACAGCACCAAGAACACAGGACATTACACATGCAGCCAGAGCACAACGCACAGGACATTACGCATGCACATTCACCCACAACACACAAACGGCACCCTAACCCATCTCTATGTCCCCTTCAATTACCTGCTGGAAGGGGCCTGATACTTGGGACTAACTCTGGTCCCATGCATAATTATTGCAGCTCAGGCGGCATGAAGGGGACCTGTGGCACAGTAAGCTGTTGGAGCCCCTCCTGTGGTCTGCCAGTTCACCCCAGGGCTTCCCCTGTATTGTGACATCCATGAATTTAGTGGTCTATCATTCCACCTTCATCCTAATATAGCTAGCCCCTTTCTGCCTCCCCTAGCAGAGGCCCTCGAGTGCCCAGATCGGTACAGAGTGTGGATAA